TATATATATATATATGTATATATATATGTACATATATATATATATGTGTATATGTATATACATAGTGACATTTGCCACTGATTTGCTTTAAGCAATACAAAATGTTAAACTAAATGTTTACTGTATGACATTGGAAGAAAATATCAACTTTGTAATACCTTCAGTAAGGACTGATAAAACTACTTGACACTCTGTTTTAATAAAAATGGTAACGACAGCTTCTTGATTTGACAGTGATTAGTTGTCATTTGACTAATTGGCCTTAATTCACCCAAAATGAAGAAATAATTATCGAAATAATGTTATTCACCCTGCGCCTCTCCCTCTTCACATTCCCTCTGAGGTCTCGTTATGAGTCGTAATGAAGTGACAGACAGGAAGTCAGATTATAGGCGTTATTGTGGCACCTCGTCTCCTCTGATCCCAATTCAATTAACAGATTATCTAAGGGCGGTAATTTCAGAGATGATTCCCTCCAGGTAGTCTCGTGCTGCTCCATTCCCGGCAAGAGAACTCAAAACTTGTTCTTCTTGTGTAGGAGCTGACCTGATTCTTTAAATCTAAAGTGGAAAACTCACTTATAATATCAAAAAGCCAAGACTTTTAGGTGAAATGCACGTTGCCTGTCACATTTAATTCCAGAGTTTTGGACAAAGATCATCTTTTGATGAGAAATGTTGGATTTAAAGGTGTTTTGGTAAACCTTATAAATGATGTATTTTGTGAGATTTGCTCAGATAATGTCTTGCAAATAACTGTCTCACACCAACAAACTGCCCCAGCTCATCAGCTGGTTCTTCTTCTACGCCAATTAACCATAACATTATGAACACAGGTATAAACTTAAATTTCACATTTCTCAGAGCCCAGGCCTTCTTTTAGATCAATCACACCCTCAGCACCTGTACACCTTTCAATTAAGAGCCTAGTATTCCTTGTAGAAATGCATGGGGCACACCATCTTTCATCCCGGGGTTAAGATCCTCTCATGTTGAATTCACAGAGTCGTGGCCATTTTGACCAACCTTAAAAACAACACTACGATCAACCTGTCATACACAGACAGGGTTAGTGTCAATGGTTAATGCAAAAGTTTGAGCAAAAGTATTGTGGCCATGCTTGATGTATTGGGAATCACTCTCAGCTTCTACAATAAGAACTTTTTTAAGTGTGTGTATGTGTATGTGTTGGGGGTGGTGCGGGGGGTGATGTAAAAATAACATTGAAACTCCTCATTAGAGAGTCTCTAAACTAAGAAGAAGCTATCATAAGTGGTTGCGTACTCTGAGCTATTTATTTATGCTAGCTGCACTGCTTCAGTTTTCCGTCAGCCTCCCACATTTTTCTGTGTTGCCTTAAAGTTGCTACGTACTTCCCAAGAAGTAAGACATCTGTTCTCACTCACGTGGTTGTGAGATGCTCTTTGAAGCATTTCATACACAGAAGAGAACCTGTAGCAAGAAGTCTCGGTTACTTGTCCGACTGTGCAGACGTCACATGTAAGCAATTCAATTCAGTTTATTTAAATAGTGCCTAGTCACAACATAAGTTATCACAGGGCACTGAACAGAAACATTCACATACAGTATAAATGCCAATTAGTAAAGTTATCTATCAAAGGAAGGAAGGAAGGAAAGCAGACTGTGTTGAGTTTTCATTTTGTCGCAGTCTCCCATCCTGAGCAAGCATAAAGGCAACAGTGGAAAGGAAAAACTCCCTTTAACAGGAAGAAGGACAAGTGGCCATCTGCTTCAACTGGCTGGGTTTGAAAGGACAGGAAGTAGAAACTGACACAAAATGACAGGTCCAGAATGGAGGCAAGCAGGTCCTTCACTAGGAGGAAAGATCAAGAAAACATATTGAGATAGAAAAAAATACAAATGCAAGTTATTCATTTTATGAAATGAGGTCAATTTGACCTCTAGTAGTCTAAACCAATAGCATAACTAAGGGATACCTCAGGAAACCAAAGCCAACACTAAATATAGGATTTATCAAAAAGTAAAGTCTTAATCCCAGTCTTCAAACTGGACAATGTGTCAGCCTCACGGACAGAAACTAGAAGTTGGTTCCACAAGAGAGGAGCCTGAGAACTGAAAGATCTTCCTCTCATTCTGCTTTTGGAAACTCTAGGAACCGTGAGTAAGCGTCAGAGTCAGATATTCTTAATTGTCATTCGCACCTCATGTGGTACATGTGGTGGAGCGAAATTATGTACACAGGGTCCCAGTTACATCCAAGAATAAAATGTAAAAGAAAAACAGTAATAACATCAAAGATATGAACTAAGAAAAACATCAACTAAATATACACTAAGCACTCATAACATAAAAATTTTTGTATTGAACACTTTTTGAAAACATAAAAAAACTTTACGTCGAACATCAGCACGAACATGAACATGAGTCTGTGTGAGCAGATGAGCATGAACACATAAACATGGAAACAGATCAGCAGCAACATGAAACAGATCAGCAGCAACATGAAACAGATCAGCAGCAACATGATGTGATTTTTTCACAGTGATTATTCTGGTTAGAGATTCATGAGTCTAACAGCCTCAGGGTAGAAGCTGTTCCTCCTGTTCCTTAATGCTTGTCATTCATGTGCACACCCAAGTACTTGTAGCTGGAGACCACTTCCACCACAGATCCTCTTATGTTCAGGGGGGTGTAGGTGTTTTTGTTCCTTATGAAGTCCACAATCATCTTCTTTGTCTTCTTCACATTGATGTGAAGGTTATTCTCTCTGCACCAGCTCTCCAGGTGTTCCACCTCTTGCCTGTAGCTGGACTCATCATTGTTTGTGATGCATCCCACCACCACACAATCATATGTGAGCAGAGTAAACAGGAGGGGGCTCAACACACATCCCTGGGGAGAGCCAGTGCTGAGGGCTATGGTGGAGGAGGAGACGTTGTGGATCCTCACTAACTGTGGTCTGTTTGTTAAAAAGTCTAGTACCCAGTTGCAGATGGAGGGGCTTAGTCCTAGTGTGGATAGTTTGTCCATCAGGGTTTGGGGGATCAAAGAGCATACAGATGTAAGAGTCTGTAGTGGACCAGTGTGGACCAGTAAGCCTGCAGTCAGAGAGAGAAGTGCTCTGTTAGGAAAATATGGAATGATAAGATCTTTAATATAAGATGGAGCTAGGTTGTTGAGAGCTTTGTAGGTTAGAAGTAAGATTTTGAATTCAATTCTAGATTTGACAGGGAGCCAATGGAGAGAAACTAAAACTGGAGAGAGATGATCTCTCCCAATAACTCCAGTTAAGACTCTGGCAGCAGCATGTTGGATCAACTGAAGACGTTTTAAAGAAGTATTTGGACACCCAGATAATAAACCATTGCAATAGTCCAGTCTAGACGTGACAAATGCATGGACCAGTTTTTCTGCATCATCTTTAGATCAAATGTTTCTAATGTTAGTGATATTACGCAGGTGGAAGAAGGAGGTTCTAGTAACGTTTTTAATGTGGGGGATAAAATACATGTCCTGATCAATATGCAGTCTGTGTGTGCATGTGTGTAAGTTATAAACTTTGGAAAAGACTAATAGTCTTGCACAACTTTTTCCATGTTGCCACTCTGAATGAATGAGGCATCTTCTCCCTTCACTTCACTTTGCCACATCCAATATGGCAGGGACAACGACGTACAATTCAGCGCTCCAACATGGCCGCCACGTTGTTTTGTGAAATTGACGTCATGCGGCATCCATGGCTCTGACTTCCGGCGACGTTCTAGCTCTAGTTTATGAGTAAGAACTCGGAAATCCAGATTTATGTGTAAAAATGTCATAATTTACGCGTTCACGTGATAGTGCACGTACATCTTAGCAGGCATGTAGATTTTAACACTTTAGGGCTCGCAGCAGTTAGCGGAACTTAATGTAGTCTGGCACCAGATTCTCGGGGACTCAAAATAACATAGGACACTTCCGGTTCGCCTTTCAGGGTAAGTTGTGCTTCAAAGTTAAATCTTAATAATTGTGTTTATTTGTGAACATGTTGCTACTTTTATTTTTCTGAACTTCGCATAGCATGAAGGGTGACTCGGTTCTGGTTTCTGTCCGGTCCACGGAGCTAAAAGGGCGTTTGTTTTAACGGTAAAACCAAAGCATTAAAAATAACATCATGTTCGAGTCGTGCTCAAGAATCCAGGTAGACAAATCTACAAAGTTAAGTCTGGTCCTCCGGACACTTAGAAAAATGTTCTTGAGCAGTTTGCAGTGGATTTTTACCTACTTACTTTACGTGACTCAGGTCTTGGCCAGAATAATGCTCTCGTGAAATAAATTGGCTCTTTAAATCCATCTTTATCTATTTATCAAGTTTAATTTATATATAAATTTAACCACCTACCGCTGACCAAAGAGCTGTGCATGAAATAGCAAAAAGGCACAAGACTATAAAAAACAAACAAAAAACTTATATTAATAAGAACTTATTTTTTAAACAGATCAAATGGCTTGTTACAATAAAAACCAGTTATTACAAATGTGTTTTATGGCAACACCCAATGCAGACATGTTCCTGTTTTTAGGTTTCTACACCGCCTTATAATCTAGCTGTTTATCGCTACTTTTCCTTTTAATTATCCTTTTAATTGCCATTTTATTTTAATTTGTTTCAAACAATTGTACGCATCCTTTATGACTGTCCACTGTTGTCATGACTCTTTGTTAAAATCAGGTGTCTCTTGTAAATGAGTCCCCGAGGCTCAATGGGACTAACGTGTAGAAATAAAGGTTGAATGAAAAAGAGATGAGACTTAAAACACCAGCAGTTTAAATCTGTCTGGTTTGAAG